AATATCGCTACTACCAACAGTGTCTAAACTCTTCGAAAATTTATTATTAAAACGAATAAAACCCATTGTAGAAAAAAAAGAAAATCATTCCTGACCACCAATTTGGATTCCGAACAAGTCATTTAACAATAGACCAAATTCACCGAGTAACGGGCGTAATAGAAAAATCTCCTAAAGAAAAACAAATTTGTTCTGCTATCTTCCTTGATGTCTCACAAGCTTTTGACAAGGTCTGGCACGAAGGACTCATAAATAAACTAAAAGGTATGCTACCAAAGCAGTATGTCGATATTATCAGTTCCTACCTAACTGACAGACAGTTTAGAGTCAAAGAAGAAGATCAATATTCAAAATTAAAAACAATAAATGCAGGAGTGCCACAAGGTAGCATATTAGGTGCACTGCTTTACTTGTTATACACCAATGATTTTCCGAAAATAGATGGAGTAAAAATTGCAACGTTTGCAGATGACACAGCGGTGATGTCAGTAGGGCCGACTATCACCCATTCAACCAAAATCCTCCAAAATGCATGTAATAAGATAAACGAATGGTCAAAAAAATGGAAAATCAAGCTAAATCAACATAAATCAGTTCATCTAATCTTTACAAACAAAAAGGTGGACCATGTTCCGTAGCTCATAATCAATGGAACTACTACACCATACAGCAATACAGCTAAATATCTGGGAATGACCTTAGATGCCAAGCTGAGATGGAAAGAACACGTGATGAAAAAAAGGACAGAAATAGGTTTAAGATATAGACAACTATACTGGTTGATAGGACGTGGCTCCAATCTTGCTGTACAAAATAAAATATTATTATATAAACAAGTCATAATGCCTATGTGGACATATGGTATTCAACTACCAAACACAGCAATATCAAAATCATACAAACACTCCAAAATAAAGTCTTACGTAACATGGTCAATGCACCTTGGTACATAAGGAATAAGGACTTACATAGGGATCTTAAGATCCCTGAAGTCACGGCGGAAATTGCCGCCAAAGACCAGGCTCGCCTCAGCCAGCACGAGAATATGGAAGCGACCAAACTCTTACATAACCGAAACATGGTCAGAAGATTAAAAAGAACAAAGCCATATGAACTTGTGTAGTTAAAAGTGAATAGTGAAGAGTGACATGTAAATCTTATTGTACCAATGGGTTTATAAGAATGTAAACATTTACTTATTCTATAATATTATTGTAAAATTAATGATTGGTCTAATAAGACCAGTTTTAATAAATAAATTTAATTTTTTTAAAAAACTTGCCTTGTGAACACAAGGCTTCCCAACCTTTGATATTTCGGAAACAATAGAAGTCATGGCGATAGAAGAAGACCTACAAAATATAACGATTGACTCACGAAGAGGCCTACATAAATGACTGTATGGAGAACCATGGAAGCACCATGGTAGACAGATGTTAAAAAGAGAGCCTTAAGTAAAAGAAGAAAATGCCAAAGGTCAAAAGTACTATGAGATAAATAAAAGATAAACAAGAAGGTAAAAGAAACACTTGGAAGATGTAAAAACTCTCCTGGAAATGGAAAGTCGAACCAACTCTGAACTCAATCGCCATAGATATCCAGAAATCCAATAATATAAATCCAGAAATCAAATAAAAAACCGTAAAATAATCTATAAAAAAACCATTTAGGAGTTGGTTGATTCGCCAGTAGAAGGTCATCCTTAGGAATGGTAGGGAAGTTGGTTAGCAGAAAAGGTTTATCCATTTCAGATTCAACTTCTTATTATAATCTAACTAATGGGCTTTAAAAGTGTTTTTTGCTTGGGTGTTGTTTGCATTTGATATTATATGGCATAAATATGTTCAGGCTAATATCAGTTACCCAAATAAACAAGATTGCTTTAGATCTAGCTAGTAGACGTTTAAGAAGGATGCTTTTTGCCTAAATGACAGTGGTTTCCATTAATTAAACGAGAAGATCTGGTCTGGTTTAATTTACAAAAGAATAACTATTTTTATACATTCGAGTGATAAATGAGGCTTTAACGTAAGTGGATACTTTAGTACCATCGTAAACAAGAAATTTCCAGACAAACCAAAGGTGGTTTCATAAATAGTGTTTTATTTCAAGTTTTTCATAGTTGTTTTTGGAAAGTTCTGGTCTTATTTACAATGTTTATACCTAAAGGATATCTATAAAGGATTGCACCTATCACACCCTACCAGTGTTCATCTCCTTCTGTGCCCGGATTTGTCTGATCCTCAGTTTTATGTAAATGGACAGTTTTTCGTCACGGTTGACAAATCATAACGCATATATTTTCGATCCTACAGTTTCGAAAGGGAGAAAATGGGCCGGGTCGATAAATTTTCACCGGTTTAAAAATAGAAGGATAGAGGCGCCTTGGCTTGACGCTGAGTTATGATCCGTCATAGCGAGAAGGGAAACATTTTTTAACTGCTAATAACGTCAGCATAATAACGGCAATTATGCTCTACTCCCGTACAGGCCGGGTAATGGACGGTTACGACAGAGATTGGCCTACTCCTTCATTAGGATATTTACGAATACTATAAAGAATTCCTCTTGTCAGTTCATTTGGGCCGGTCGGGCAACGGAGGATGAAAATTAAGGAAATGAAAAGATATGATTGAGCCATTTTTCAATTCCTTTCTAAATAAGTTTATATCTTTTTGCGTATAAACATAATGAATATTCTATTTTCCTTAATATACTCAATATAGTACTTGGGATTTTTTAACTGTGTTAAAATGAATACGGTTTGATATCCTTGTATGTATGTCCTTTTAAATAAAATGTACTTACTTTCATTTTGACAATACAATTAAATAAAACTAATATTTCAACCGCTAAAATCAATTATTTTTTAATGCTTCATTATATCTAGGCCTTTTTGGAGATGGGTAAAAAATGCACTCTTCATATTACAGGGGACGACCAGGTTGGTGGAGAAACCAAAATTTTTGTTTTTTTGTGATTGTACACTCCAAAATATCAGGGATACACTGCTTGGGAATAGGAGCTGGTTTCATCAAAAAGAAATTTGAATCTTTCAATTAATTAAGGTTTTTAGTTGAGATAAAAAAGTCAGTGTCACGAGCGGGATTCGAACCCACGATCTTCGGCTAGATACGCCGCTGCTCTACCACTTGAGCTATGGTGAGTTCGATCAGTCACACTAACTTCAACTTCCCATCTCAACCCCACCTTTTGAATTTTCCCTCCTTTTTGCCATTTTTGCCATATCCCGCTCGTACCATTGACTTTTTTTATCTCAATTGAAAACCTTAATTAATTGAAACTTGTTACAAACTTTCATTTTAGCTTCTTTTCCCACAAATCCTACATTTCAAAAACGTAGATTGCCTCTTCTCAGCCTTTTATTAAAATCTTCGGCCACTAACCTCCCATCAAAACCCCACCTTTTGCTCATCAACTTGGGTTCGAATCCCACTCGTGACATTGACTTTTTTATCTCAACTAAAAACCTTAATTAACTGAAAGATATTAACTGGTCAAGCGGAACATTTGTCGTCGAGAATCCATTCCGATTACACGACATTTGAAAAATGGCAAAAAGGAGGGAAAACTCATAAGGTGGGGTTGAGATAGGAAGTTGATATCCGAGTGGATCGAGGTCACGATAGCTCAAGTGGTAGAGCAGCGGCGTATCTAGCCGAAGATCGTGGGTTCGAATCCCGCTCGTGCCATTAACTTTTTTTCATCTCAACTAAAAACCTTAATTAATTGTAATATATTAATTGGTCAAGCGGACCACGAAATTAGTGAATTTGGATAGAGGGTTGCGAACATACTGTGTGAATTTATCTCTCAAAATAGGATCACCTTTGTCTTTGTCTTCTTAATTCATAACGACGGTAAAGATACCATAAACAAACTACTTCTTCGATTTCCATTATGAGACTGAACCAAAAACGTGAGTTCAAGCGTCACAATGTGTACGCTGCAAGCGCCTATTAACGCGCGATCGATTGCGCGATTCAACGCCTTGTGTGTACTAGGCCTTAGTGTATAAAGTTTTTTATAACTAGCATTGAGAATGATTGTATTTATTAGCGTGAATATGTTGTGTGAGAGGCCTACGAAGGTACGGAGTACCTCATGACCCTAAATTAGATTAGTTATAATAGGTGTAAAGTGTGATTTAGGTAAATCAGTAAATCTTAAATTTTGGATGCCAGTCAACACGTCGCCAATAACTCTTCCTGTAAAAATTCAATTATTACGCCGTATCAGGGATTTAGTTTAATGTTTCAAAATCTCAGTAATTAATAAAAAGTTAGCCTTAAGGTTAGATAGGGAATATGTAAAAATCTCTATATAAATATAAATATGTGGGCTGGTTAGACGCATAGATATCAGACTTTTTTCTTTTCACGTAAAGAATTTAATTAGATTACATATCGAAGTTTACATTTCTATTTCTATACAGTGAGATATTTCTTTTGAATCTGGTCGTAAATGATATAATACAATTTTTTTTTTTTTTATTAAGGTTCTCCAAATGACTCCGACGATGTCCAGAATTCACGTCACGTTGGATATCCATCGAAAATGCTCATTTCATAAGAAAACCAATTAAATTGGCCCAGTGGTCGGTCAAAGCGAAAACGAATAAGCCGATTTATTATTATTGTTGAAACTCGTCTAATCCATCGGCCATAGGGAGAATATCAATCAGTTCGCCGGGTTATCATCAATCAATACCGTACAGGAATTAACGTCCGTTTAATAAATCTCATGTTCCTTTTTGTTGTTTTCCTTTTTTGAACTTTGTTTTTATAAACAAATAATACAATAAAAATCTGAGTTTTATTTGCTATTTTTCTTTTCTCTGTACACAAAAATAAATTTGGTCTGCATTTAGTTGCAATATTTGAATTATTTTCAACCTGTTGATCAATATTATTTATAGGTCGACTTGACGTTTTTTACCAATTCCTTCTCTTACTAGATCACTACAACAAATTATAAGATTATCTTTGGAAAACATTTATTGATGTTATGAACAAACATGCCACACAACAATAAAAACTTTTGTTTAAAATTTAATTTTAAACTGCTCATTCGGCCGGAGTTGATAGTTTACCTAGAATAAAAAAACAATGGTAGATCATGGACAACATACAATAAGGTCGATTTTACAAACCTTTTTATTGTTTTTAAAATCTTAGAAGGATGCTGCGGCCTCAGTTCGAACCTAGGGAAATTGAAAATATTCTCTCCCTGAAATATAAACATTTTAAAATAATTTACTACTGCTGGAAAAATATTTTATTAGAAATGTGTGGTGATTAGTGACGTTAGTCGATAATTATTCAGAAATAGTGAGATGCGGTCTGGTGTGATGTAGGTTTCAGAAAAACTAATTATTCACAAATCGTGAGATGCGGTCTGGTGTGGTGTAGGTTTCAGAAAAACATTTTCTTTATCGTGCCAACGTTTCGATCTTTATTGAGATCATCTTCAGAGCTCAAAGTGTTTTCTTCTGTGTAATTGTGCCATTCTTGCGTGTCGTGTCGAGAGTGCCCTTTAATATATTATTTTTATGATTTTGTTTTTTTCTCCTCTTCTTTTATCCATGTCAACCTACTACGTCCTAGGAACCCTAAATTATAGTAACAATACTTTATGGGGTTTGATTTAAAAAAGGATAAAATCTTAAGAAACACAAATGTTTATTTTTTTCAATGTTTGCCTCATTTTCTTATTTCTGCTCATTATTCTTCTCTTATCCACTGTTAAACCCTCTTAATGTATTCAGTTAATAATTATACTCTCTCCTTCTCTTTTTTATTAACTGTCAGTATACCACATCATACGAACTCTATACAGAAAGAATACTTTGTACTGTTTGAATAAAAAAAGGAGGAAATCACTAGAAATATAAATGTTTCGGCGGATTGAGCAATTTTCTGATTTCTGCTATTTCTGTTTCCTTTATGAATCCATTATGCCACATAAAAATACCAAACAAACGACTGAAAGTCTTGAATATAATTATTCAGAAATCGTGAGATACGGTCTGGTGTGATGTAGGTTTCAGAAAAACATTTTCTTTATCGTGCTAATGTTTCGATCTTTATTGAGATCATCTTCAGAGCGTCTTGAATATATTCTCATTAAATTGTAGGTAAATTTTCTATTTTCATATTTATAATTTTCCTCCTTTCTTCATTCATTGATGTCAGAAAACAACATCCTCTTTATATTTTGATATAAGGGTCCTACCCTCCCCAATATATACAATACATCCTACCAACCCTAAATTGTAGACGAAAAACCTTATACAGGGAAACATTTTAGTGAAGAACAGTCATGGTGCATGGTGTCACTACGTTCGTCTTCTTTCGGAAAGTGACCTCTAAACGGAAACTTTTATCATCAATAGATAAGTCTGTCTCAAGCTGTCTTTATATGTATATGTACAGATACTATATGTCAAGTGTAGATATAGATGTTTTGCCCCTCCTAACGATTTGCTCAGCTTTAATTTACCGCTTTTCCTAAGAATCAAGCACTTCTTTTGTGGATCTGTCACGTCAACATTAAAAAATTTTTACTTAAAGCTGACTTGTCCTCTATTTAGAGTGGGCTCTATCTAAAGTCATTAAATATATAGAAAATAATCTTTCATACCGGAGCACCTGCAACTGCCATGTAAACGGAATTGTCTCCTGAACAGAAGAGCCCCCTTATCGGAAGGTTCACTATAGAAACAATACGTTGTAATGTTTGATGAAACACACGAAGAACACAAAAGTTCCATAGTTTGGCATATTTTCTACTCTATGCTTCTGTTTGTTAAACACCGTTTGACAACATTACTAAAGCTTCACCAATAATAAACCATTTTCGAATGTCCTTATATTGTAAAATGAAACTAATTTATCGATAATATTGGTCTTAATGGGGTTAATTTTGTTAATTCACCTATTCTTTAATATAATAAGGTAATCTTTGCAAAAAGCGTTCATTAAAAATTGATAAATAACGTTTAAAAACACGAGAATTTTAGGGTAGTGCAGGGATTTGTGAGAAGAGGGAGTAACGAGTTCAACCATGTCGCAAGTAGAACAGTAGTGGGGAGGATGATTAATTACCAACGAGTGACGTAAGAAACATGTACAAACATGTTTTGTCCAACTGGGGCATACATGTTCGGACATGCGCGTGCAGTAAATGAATAAAATAAATGGTAAAAATCTTTCATTTTTCTCTCAGCCACTATAGAGATCAGTGCAGATCATTGAACTTGTGTTAATGCACCACCACCCAAACGGAGTAAAATTAAGAGAAACAATGGATTGAACGATACCAATTGAATTCAATCATATGACATGTTTTCAAATATTTTCTTCAATGATTATTCGGAGATCGTGAGATGCGGTCTAGTGTGACGTAGTTTTTAGAAAAACATTTTCTTTATCGTGCTAACGTTTCGATCTTTATTGAGATCATCTTCAGAGCCTGGGATTTATAAACAAACATTGTTTGAATTTTACAAATACATGTTGAATGTGGAAAAAAATTATGAATTTATACAATGCTAGAAAATTTTACATTAAAAAAAAATATATATATATATATATGGTAGAAAATTTTAAATTAAAAAAAGAAAGAATGAATTTATACAATGCTAGAAAATTTTAGATTAAAAAAATGAATTTATACAATGCTATAAAATTTTCGATTTAAAAAAATGAATTTATACAATGCTATAAAATTTTAGATTAAAAAAATGAATTTATACACTGGTAGAAAATTTTAGATTCAATCAAAGTATTTGTACTCTCTCAAAGTGTTTTCCGTGTAGATGTGTCATTCTTGTGAGTGCCAGTGAGATATTGATGTTTTATGTTTATATACATTGGATTTTGAAGGGGTGGGGAAGGAAGTAGGGATAGAAAGACATTTTTATATGAGGAGTCGGCTTCTTTGAGGCGAAAGGAGCCGACAATGGGAAAAACGCAGGTAATGGTTCGGCCTGATTATCCTTTCAGGATAAGATAGACCCGGGATAATTAGGTTAAGGAAAACCAAATTGCTGAAGAATTAGACTTTGTAGCAATGTTTTATGTGTGGAATGTGATGATTGTTTTATACGTTATATTACATGTTTTGTGTGATGTGATGATATCGATGTACGTTACATATGATGTATGTATGTTATCCTCACACCAGACCGCATCTTACGATCTCCGAATAATCATTGACTAACGGTCACTAAACACCACACACTTTTTTCTTCAAATTGACGAATTGATCCGCTGCCGTCCACAAACGTGAAAATCACAAATCCGCTGTATATCATATTACAGGGAAATTCAGCCTCGTCATATCTTCCATTGCGTAGTATCGGCGATAAACCGTGCAAAGTGATAATTCGACTAGAGAAACTGGCTTGAATAATGTGCAGACCATGTCACAAACAATCTTGAATTGCGGGGAGGCAGAGCACCGAGTCCCACGCTATTCAGAGCGGCTCTTCCCGGAGTCATTTGGAAAATACGTGTTCCACAGCAGTGATTACTGGGCTGTACGTGTTCCGTACAGGTCTTTCTCCATTTTTTCCTCTCTCGTTTTCTTCTATTCCCCCTTACCTGGCCCTGTAATGAGTACCCCGTTCTTTAGGATGGGCCCAAATCAGACATGCTCCTGAGGATCTGCCGGGGCGTTTGTTTTATTATACCCCATTCTTGAAGAATTTCGTGTGGAATGTTTATAAAATCGAAGTCTCGAAACCCAATGATAATTACATGCTCGTTGGGCACGCCTGGTAGCCATATGTTTTGAGGAGGGGCCCTCAGATTTTTTTCTATCTTTCTCCCACAAGGGATCAACGCAAGCTATATCTTTTTAAAATATCTATACAAGCGAGTAGTTTGCGAAAAAATCTCCATAAATTTATTCTAGTATTTCTGTAACATTGATGGAAAAACATTCGTAAGAGATCGTCGTTAAAAATAGATAGCTAGATACATCTTGGTGACTAAAACCGAGAAGATCTAAGATTCTTCTGGCTTCTTAATGGCTCATTAATCTGATAAACCAACACTTGACGAAAACAAGCCACCCAAAAATTATTCAGTGTGCAAAGATCACAGGGGCGAGGAAAACAACCCCATCAACAAACTGTCTCAGAAACACTTCTAGGAAAAGTTCATACACCCTCCATAAACCTATTTAATCTTTACAGACTTTAAAACAGAAAAAATTAAGAGAAAATTAAATACAATTACGATTCACAATACATGATTTTGTGCAAGCCCAAAAATACGATCAACACAACGATCTCCACAACATCTCAAGCTGAAATTTTACAATGCCTGTGCCATAGAAAATCTGTAAAGAAGTTACACTGACAAAAAAATCCTCATACTGTTAAACAAACAGACATGACGACATAAAAGCATTAGAAAGTAAAACGATCACATACAAGTCAGTGAATTCATCCAAAATCTCCAAACCTGGGAAAACATGAACCTAACAATATCTTGGATTCATGGGAACTAATGAGTTCTGGGTAATGAAAAAGCAGACAAACGGGCAAGTGGAGGATCTGCAAGATCATATATTATAGCCTCAGAACTTATAGTTGGGATCACAAGGGTATATAAAAACATCTCAGTTATTGGAGAAAAGTGGACGAACTCCAGAAGTGCCAGACATAGTAAACTCGTGATTCAAGAATCATCTCTAAAACTGGTAAACACATTGCTACATTTACTAGGGGGTAATATTCAGGGGTGTTAGCGCTCCCGGTCATTAGCATCTGAGAAAACACCTACACAACATGGTTCAATGATGCCCTAATAGGTTAAGCAATGAGAAGGAAGAAACTGCCACCCATAATCGTCGAATGTGAACCAACCGATCAATGGAGACATAATCCAGGACATCACGAAAACCCGGGGAATAGAATTTCAGGAATGGCCTTACTTCTTACGAGAATGATGAAGCCAATTGACCTGAACAAAGAACCTTGGAAAAGTACAATAAGCTAAAAGGGTGCATTTTAGGCAATACAAAAATCCAGCTTTCTAGCATTCCATCATCATCTTCATCATGGTATGGTCTCGTTAGTGCTTCACACTGTATTGTGAAACATGCAGAGCTGAAAAGACATCTTAGGGCTCAGAAAAAAATATTTGGATATATTTACGATAATATTAAACAAACAAGCACCAATATGTGATATGATCGATTACTTACATACTATATTGTCAAATTTGGTAATCATATCTTG